CCCCAAAACCCCAAAACCCCAAAACCCCTATATGGAGAGACAATATGGAACAAGTTAATAAAAATAAATGAATACAAGAAATATTCAAATCACAAAGCCAATAAAAGCTGTCCTACAGATATCAGAGTCATCTCCAGTACTCCCAGAGATAGACAAGAAGATAGTCTGAACAATGAAGAGAACTCAAGAGGGGTTACATAATAGATTTTTGAACGGACTCAATCCTAGATTAGTCAGAGGTCGTCGAAATTGAAGCAGGCAAAAGATATCCAATTTTACCACCCAAACTCCTATAGAGAAGAAGAGTCTCAGAAGAAGTATCCAGTCTTTGACTAAATATCAGAAGAACTGTGTCAAGATGCACATAAATTTGATATCAAAGAGCAGGCAAAAAGTCATCGAGGCCAAAGAAAGGAGGTTTAAAGGATTCTTTTCCCCCAGGCTTCTCAGTAAGAAAGCAAGTTCTTTCGTTTTCACTAAGACTCAAGTGACTAGAACACCAAGAAGTAATCCTTGAGAAGACATCCAGAAGCTATTTAAGGATCTGAATTTGAACTAATCACTTCCTGATGGGAAATAGTTCATACCATCTTTGTCATCTATGTAAATAAAGATGGCAGAGATAAAATAATAAGTTTTATACTAATAATTCATAATAATTTGAGTATCAAAACAAGTCTGGCTAGTCTTAGATACTAATAATGGTAGATGGGAGATAACACTAAATTATCTAAATGCTGAGATTTAACAATAGAAGTATTTAGACATCCTAGTCCTTTTTAGAAATAATTCATCACATTTGGAGATAACTTGCAAAATGAAGAATTACAACAAACCTTGCACCTGAAAATTTTCCTCGGAGCAAGGTAGGGCTTGATTCAAAGAATCAAGAGTAACTATAAGTCTTATAAATGCTAGTTTTTAAGTGGTCCTATGATGATCTGAAGAGATATTATTGAATTTCTTATCTCCCATTTGGAAATTCATAATTACTGGCAACTCTGCTAGAGCATTATTAGACCAAATTTTGTCAAATATGTTCTACTAAAATCTAACCATTTCTATTTTTATTATATCTCCTTCTGATTCTTTCATAAAATGGTTTGAGGAGAGTGAATAAAATTGTGGTTGACTTAAAAATATTCTTGGACTATTACTGTACATTACACTATTTTAACCTAGCTTTCAGAGTTATTCCTTTTGAAAGCAATCAAAGCTTATACACTCTAAAATAACACAAGGGCAATATTGATTCAATTAATGAAATTTTATAATCAGTTACGAAGTTATTCAAAACTTATAGCACAGATCTTGTCTTAATTTATAAATTCTTTAGTATCAATAATCAACATATGTGCACAAAGTAGGACAACTTCCAAGGTATTTGCTGGTTCTAAACCTAAATTCTAACATCAAGATGCTATAGTAAGAATATGAACTCCATCTGAGGGCTTTCTAGAAATCAAGTTACTAATTTCATGTCTAAATCAGGGAACTTTGGGTCTCCATTTTCTCTAATAAAACGGCTGATAAACCTTTTTACTTGGGGTTTTGGGGTTTTGGGGTTTTGGGGTTTTGGGGTTTTGGGG